TCTTGTTTCAGATATGGAACTCGAATGGGATAAAGCGAGTACAAATCGAAAAATATTCCACATAATCTACAACATTCCACAAAATTTGGTACCACAAGGGTGGACATGTAAGAAAATTCATAATTAATAAATGGTTGCAATTATATTACTCAAATAAAATAGGTATTTTAATAATTTAACCTTATCTCGTGGGATGACCATAATTTACCCTAAAATGTCTAACTAATTACTAAGCCTCAGAAGTCTAGAATTTGTGATCAACTATTTTTGCTCCCATATGTAAAAACGTGGTAACGATTAATAAAATAATACAACAAGTAATAAATATAGAATAGCAACCAAATTTGATTCTAGCCAGTCAGCACTTAGCACAATTCATGAAATTATGCGTGTTTTAAAAAAAAATTATATATATTGTACCACAAGTTGCCTAGTAGCATGATTCGTGCGTTATTCGATACGGTGGATAATCACTTTTTTGTTTTTAGGGTTGATTGCTGAAAATTTGAATGTCAATTCAAGAATTAAATAGTTTGAATATTTTAAGTTTTAACCTTTTCTTAACATAAACAAAAAAATTGTACTGAACCTAATTGTTCGATTTTACATTAATGTGTGGAGATTAATAATAAAAATTCACCTAGTGTAATCTTCACCGCATAATCTTAATATAGTTGGCTTATTCATTAGATTGAGTTTATGTGATTTAAAATACTAAATATTCCCAAAAGTTAGTAACCAGGTGCGTGCAACCCATAGAATTGGACCATTCATATCTAAACACTTGTAATAAAATATAATATAATCCTAGTGGTAAGTGGATATACCTAAATTATTACAATAATACTAAATTAAATCCCAATTTGGGGGGTTTAGGTCAAAAACCGACCCCTAGAGAAATGCAATAGTCATCTTGTGAGTTCAATTAATTAATTATTTAATTTAATTAACAACATGATTTAATTTTGAAGTCAAATAATGTGATCTCCGAAACTTTTATGAGTCCTTTTCCTCCAAAATTCTCAGCGGCAGCCCACATGTTAAAAATTGTTTTCGGGGAGTCAATTTACTTCTCTGTTTAATTAGTAAAAATATTTCACTTTTTAAAGCACTAAATACTCAATTAATTGGGAACAATGTTTTATCTTTTTATTTTTTTATTTTTTATTTGTACGAAGGAATCCGCATCAAACAGTATAATATAAGTGGTGTACTTAGTAAACTTATCTTCTCGTATTATAGCGTACAAAAACAATTATTTTCTTAAGCAATGATTTCATTGGATGATTAAACGTTTGGGGTTCATGCAGCGCCCCAGACTTATTTTTAAGAACATTCATAATTATATCTTAATCTATTATTCTAATCAGAGACAGAAAATATATAAAAAAAATCAAAATTAAAATCAATGATATAACAACAATTTAGTAAATTATAATAGTAAAAAGAAGGGTAAATTCTATTTTGCCCTTTATACTTTGGCTCGATATCACTTTACCCCCTTCTACTCTCAATTGCACTGATTTGCCTCTTTGTACTTTGACTCGATTGCACTTTACACCATTTTACTTTCAATTGCATTGATTTGCCCCTTTGTACTTTGATTCGATAGCACTTTACACCATTTTACTTTCAATTGCATTGATTTGCCCCCTCGTACTTTGGCCTGATATCACTTTACCTTTTCTACTCTCAATTGCATCGATTTGTCCCCCTTGTACTTGAAAAAATGTCTCAATGTGGCCATCGGCGTTAGTTTTCAAACTTTTAACCTTAACACTGTTTGATCGAAGTATTGAAATTACTAAAAACACCCTCTCAGTTTAAGTAATTATTAAAAAATATTTAAAAAAAACAAAAAAACAATAATTAAAATAATAAAAAAATCAAGACAATGAGAAAACATAGTCCATGACGCCAACCACGGTTTATTTATTTTTTTTCTTTTAATAATTATTTAAACTGGGAGGGGTGACTCTTTTGTAATTTCAAACTTAGATCAAACGGTGTAAATGTCAAATGTGTGAAAACTAACGGCGATGGCCACATTGAGACAATTTTCAAGTACAGGGGGGCAAATTGATGCAATTAAAAGTATAAGGGGGTAAAGTGATATTGAGCCAAAGTACAAGGGGTCAATAGATGCAATTAAGAGTAGAAGGAGGTAAAGTGATATCGAGCCAAAGTAAATGGGGCAAATCGATGCAATTGAGAGTAAAATGGAGTAAAGTAATATCGAACCAAAGTAAAATGGGGAAAGTGTAATTTACCCTAAATAGAATTAACGTGATTTGGGGAAACCAAGTCCGAGTATATGGGATAAGTTCAATTGAGTGGTGACGTGCAACAAACCGGGGTAGTACGGGTTGGCCCACAGGTCTAAATCGGGCGCCCACAGACCCACCCGAATACCAGAAACCGGTTGCCTGTTTTGCAAAAAGCGGTTTGGAGAATTCCAGAAAACCGGGAGGCGGGTGGGTCCCGCACACGCACCCCATTGGCATCCGCGATATGTGGCGATTCGACCGCACTCTGACATGCCCTGTGGCATCCACGCGCCGGCCCACATTTGTTCCCGTATGCATGGCGCCGCGCCCCAATGCTCCCCCCATGCCACTTCACGTGCTGGTTCCTTCTATACTAGTATTTTCTTTTATCGTTACCTATTTTCATTTTCTCCTACTTTCCTCCCCCAAAACTATACATATATGCATTTTACGCCCTTGAAATTATACCCAAACACATATTTTAGATCTCTTTTGTTATTTACAATTTTTTATGGGATAATGATGACAATGTTTATAAAGAAAATCAAAATTCCCCATATTTTGTATACTATTATAAGTAGTTATTTATTTTAAATATGTGGGCTTATAGTTATTTTGATTTAATATGTATTTTAAAAGAAAAATAATGATTGTGTGACAAACAAAAATAACATAAAAAAAATGTGAGTTCATCTACTTGATTCTAAATTCACTTTAAATTTACAATGACAAAAAACTATAGTACTAATCATAATTTCCAGTTCTAAATTTCACTAACTCTACAATTTAAACCAAGATTTAACAGCATGTTGTCAGTATACATGTTAGTATGAGTTTGACATCAATTGTCCATACGAAGGAGACTCAGGTATACATATGACCCATAATTAAATATCGTGAATGCTTGTGTGTATTGAATACAACTTTTCTAATACTAATTAGTTTTGGAATAACTGATAGCGATCGAGACTCTACAGTGAAATATAATTTTTTAAATAATGGATACAATATGCATTGCACCATGTATTAATATAATAAGGTACTCTAAAAGCAATATATTCTTATGACGTTATGGATGACATTTTGTGGGTATAGTAAGAACAAAATCATAAGTAAATTAATTAAAAAAAAATCAATTTGGATAAGTTTACTCACTCACATAATTAACCAGGTGCAGGGGATAGTTGTCATTTTGAGCTTATCTACGGTTGTATGTATGTATATATACAGGTTTGCATGATGATGAGCGTTTGTTTGGCCAAACCCCCGACCAATGGGAAGAAAAGTTGGCGGTCATCGACTGGGCGGTTTGTTACACGCGCCATCTGTGGGGCGTGAACACTCATCACCCCCCACATGGATTATTTGATGTTTTCCATGGCGGGGTTTGACATTGGTGTGGGGGTGGGTGGGGTGGGCCAATATAATAAAAATGTTTATATAATGAAAATTGTTCAGTTTTTGTACTATTCTCTCTATACTCAATACTGATTCAGCCAGCCGCCCACCCCATTCCATGAATGTGGAAAACCTCCACACACACACACTCTCTCTCTACATATATTCCCTCTCTCTCTCTCTAGATCTCTATATATAAATTGACGGAAGTGGAAAACGTTTACTAATATATTCCAAACCCTCAATTTAAACACTCTCTTCCTTTTTTCTCTTTATCAATAATTAATAATTAAAAATCGTAAGAATCGAATCGAAAATCGCGCAACGAAAACGATGAGGATGAGCTGTAATGGATGCCGAGTTCTACGGAAAGGCTGCAGCGACGACTGCAGCATAAGGCCGTGTTTGGATTGGATCAAAACCCCTGATTCACAGGCCCACGCCACCGTCTTCCTCGCCAAATTCTACGGCCGCGCCGGACTGATGAACCTCGTCAATGCCGGCCCGCAGCACCTCCGCCCTGGTTAGCACCGCCGCTGTAATTTTATTTCTCTCTCATATTATATCTCCGCTTCTGCCAATTTTTTTATCCTGATGGTTTAATTTTGGGGTTGTTGGCGCAGCTATTTTTAGGTCTCTGCTGTACGAGGCATGCGGGAGGATCGTGAACCCGATATACGGGTCGGTCGGGTTGCTATGGTCCGGGAGCTGGCAGCTATGCCAGAACGCCGTGGAGGCGGTTCTGAAAGGGGTTCCGATAACGCAGATACCAACCGACGCCGCCGAGAATAAAGCCGGGCCGCCTCTCAAGGCCTACGACATCAGGCATGTTAACCGGCCGGAGGATAATCTCTCCGGTTCGTCGAACGATCTTCACCGGGTCAGGAACCGGTTCCGTTTCAAGCGGGATGGGGCGAAGCCGAGGCGGAGCCGGGTACGGGTCCGGGCGGGATCGGCTGGGGAGGTTCGTAGGTCGCCGAGCCATGAGTCCTCGTTGAGCCACCAGTCTGAGGAGGCGGCGGCGGCGGCTGAGACGAATGTGGGGATTGAAGATACTGCTCGGGAGAGCGAGAGCTTGGCTTCGGCGGCTTGTGAATCGGCTTCGGAGGATGAAGGAGAAATTGAGCTGGATCTGACTCTCGGATTCGAGCCGTTCAAACGCGCGGTGAAGCCGAAAGAAGTGGCGGTGAAGGAGGCGGAAGACGACGGCGGCGCTGGATTATGTAAAATGGAGCTGCGGCTTGATTGTGCTGTTCGTGGCTTCAACGGCTCGGGTTAACTATTTCGTTAGTTTTATTTTATTTTTCCTTTTCTTTTGGATCTTATGTAGGACGAGTTTAATGTTTATTTTAATTACCTATATTAGAAGAGTTGTACAAAATGTAGTAGAGTTGGTACATTAGTGTAGCTGGAACAAGTTTTGACTTGGTCAATGAAATTTTCAAATTTCATTTCTTTATACTTATTAGTTTTTTTTTTTTTTTTCCTGTCATATTTTGATATAATATTTTTACATTAGACTCATATATATATTTGGATACATATTTTGACCATGATAAATAATAAAAAAAATTGCTCTATCATCAAATTCTAAGACATTTAATATGCTAACGAGAGAATGTGTAAAATTGACATTTTTTTGTAAAAAAAAGTTGCGGCCAACTTACTGAGTAAATTTGCACTCTCGTATAATAGTTTGTAAATTATACTAGATATGTAAATCACAATAGCCTAATTACGTGTCACAAATTCGATCTACCACCGTTGGCAATATGATTCGAATATGGTAAAATGACACAAGCTCACTTATTTTAATAGTCCCGAAATAATATTTTGGTTTGCTGGATAATTACGAAAATAGGCTCACCCTAAACAATAATTGAATCTAGAAAATTGAGAAAATAAACCCCGTTATCACATATCTCTTCCAATCTCTCTCTTCGCTCCGTTCTTCCATTTTGGAAATAAAAACTTATTTGATTATTTATTTTATTTAATGTCAAATAAAATGATAGATGTTATTAACACATAAAAAAAATTAAGACAAGTTTTCTATCGTAATAATCGAATGGATTCATATAGAATTGTATAAAGTTAAAAATAAAGTGTATCGCAATTTCCTTATAATAAAAACTGAAAATACGGAAAATTGAAACGATTTAATGAATTGAATAGTAAATCGTAAGAATCTCAAGACCATGACAATGATGAGGATGACATTAATAGCAAAACTAATAATAGTCCCATTCTATTTATTTGCATTCGATCTATGGGATTAAATTAAATGGAAGCTCATCTTATAATAAAAATGGATTGGAACATTCATAAAGAACAAGATTTTATAGATAATAAGAAATTTGAAAAGAAATATTAAAAGTAACTTGGATCAGAAGTTAATAATGATATTTCTCATCCAAATTTTCTTATGCATCATCACCAAATCTATTTAAAGGGATGTGAAAATATTTTTGCTGCATCACAAAAAATCAAAATGGAGTTGCCCATTCTAAAAATTTTCCTATTCTTGTTTCTCAGCTTCGCAGCCCATGCAAAACTCACAAATATTGATGATAAGCTCATTTCAAATATATGTTCCAAGACAAAGGCCTCATATAGATGCACATCCTATTTGAACATGGTCCGCAAGGAAAAAAAAGAATCTTCCCTTGAGGGTGTCGGGGTACACTTTCTCGACATTGCAATGAACAGAGCCAAAGTATCGACTGATTTGTTTAATCGCTTGATTAAATATGATTACATAGCTAAAACAAGTTATATGAAGGCGAAATTCGAAAAATGTATCGTACAGTATAAGTGGGCAGCGGACAAGATAAGTGAAGCAAAAACACTGTTGAAAATTGCAAAATTTTCACTGGCGAGAGACAATTTAGAAGAAGTGTCGACAGTTCCTATTTATTGTGAGAATTTGACTAGAACAGAATCACGTGAAGTTATTGGAGCAAACGATGAGTCTGATTATGTTTTCGACATTGCTTTGGCTATTGTGAGAGAGTTGGAACGAGGTAGTAGAAAATCTACTACGGCTTCGCTTACATAAACAACTAGAAAATCAAATAAGGAATGAAATAAATAAGATGTAAGCATTAATTTATTGTTGTATTTTGATTATACCGAGAAAAGAAAAGTTAATGCAAAATTGGTCAGTATTTTTCTATCTTTTTATTGGTCAATTATAATTTTCTATATAAATATAAGCCCCTTGTTATATAACATTATCATTCAATTTAAGTTCAAAAAACTTTGTACGGCCATAATATTATTTAAAAATAATATTCAAATTGTACCAATATTGTTAAAAAAATTTAAAAAGTTATCCCAATATTGAATCAGCAAGAGTCCAATTGGCTACCCTATTTAGGTAAAGGTCAAAAATAATTAATGGATGAAGCTGAAATTGGCACATGTTTTAACAAATTCAGCCATTCTCTTCCAACTGAGTTTGCGGCTGTGTCAAGCCCAACTCACATTAATTTTTACTTGTTTTTTAGCCCATTAATTCAATACAAATCTCCCGTACATCTCCGGTCTCCCTCACCAAATTTCATTTGTCCACAAATGGTCCCAAATATTATTTAAATTGCATTTTGCACCCTAAGAAATGACCATTTTGGCATAGTCCACCCTCAAAATTAATAAAAGACATTTCGCACCTTCAGATTACAACTAATTAAGCAAATTATATATGTTTTAATTTTTTATTTTGTTTTTTTCGAAGGGCAAATTATAACTTCACAGGGTATATATGCTAATGCTCGTCTCAATTAACTAGGTTTATCTTTTTACCTTAAGCAAGTTTATGGAAAAATCTCTAAACATAGGATCAGTTTATGGAAAAATCTCTAAACATAGGATCAGATCAGCGGCGAGTCCATCCTCATCTAAATTTATTCCATTAAATTATATTATATAATGATATTATATTTGTATTCAGCCCACATCATTTGTATTAATTCGCCCACTTAAATCCAAATTAATGCAAAGAAAAGTTCCTAAATTATTTTCTTTTCTTCTTTAGCTATTTTCTAATTTTGTCATATTTTATGCAAAAATCTTAATTTTTTTGGAAGGCGTTGTACCAAACGCTTCAAAATTAAAGCCCACCATTTAACAGATTCATGCACTCGCCACTAATTCGGATAGTATGCTTCACTGTGAATTCCAGCTGAAATTGGAATTATAATATTCAGTAACGTGTGCGTTTGGAAATTCAAAACTAAGAGGGTGTTTGGCTAAGCTTATAAGATGTTAAAAGGAGCTTATAAGATATTTTAGAGCTTATAAGCTCTTCCAAAGTGTTTGATAAATTTTTAGAAAAAAGATCTTAATTTTTTGAAAAATAAGCTGTTGGAGAGCAAATAAGATCTTTTTAAATAAATACCTCTACCCCACCTTTTTATTTAAGATCTTTTAATGAGTAAAAATAGGAAATAAACCCATTTCCAAACACTCTAAAAATTAATTCTAAATATAAGATGTAACAGCTTATCAGCTCTTAAAACATCTTATCAGACGTAAGAATTTATCAGCTGTTTAAAATAAACTTAGCAAAACACCCTTTCAATACAAAATGTAATGTAGTGGCCTCTAATCTTATTGCAGGGTTACAATACGGTTGTTAAATGCAATCCAAATCCAAAACAAAATCTCTTCCACCATATATATTTTACTTGTCATTTCGAATGGTGAAAAGTTTGTACATTATACTCAAAGATATATTTGGATACATATTTTAAACATGATAATTAATAAGACAAAATTGTTCTATCCTCGAATTCTAAGACATTTAATATGCTAACAAGAGAATGACTAAAATTAACATTTTCTTTTAATCAAGGAACTTGCAGTCAACTATATAAGTGCTTTGAATAAACTTGTACTCTCGTATAATAGCTTGCAAATTGTACTAAAGACGTAAATCACACTAGGCTAATTATGTGTGACAAACTCGATCTAGTTATTGTTGACAAGGGTATTCAAATCTAGGTCAATCGACATATGCTTACTTATTTTGAAATGAAAGTCCTGGTATATTTTGGTTTGCTGGATAGTTACGAATATAGGTTTACCGTGACTAAACAATAATTGAATATAGAAAATTGAGAAAACAAATTAAACCAATTTATCACCTATCTCTTCCAACCTCTCTCTTCGCTCCGCTCTTTCATTGCGTAAATAAAAACTTATTTGATTGTTTATCTTATTCGATGTCAAATAGGATGCTAGATGTTGTTAACACAATTTAAAAAATTTAAAATAAGTTTTATATCTTAATAATCGAATGGAGTCGTATAGAATTTTGTATAAAGTTATAATAAATCGTATCGAAAATTCCTTATGATGAAAACTGAAACAAAAGGAAAAATTGAAACAAATTAATGAATTGAATCGTAAATGTAAATCGTAAGAATCTCAAGACCATAATCATGGCGAGGACGACATTTAATAGCAAAACTAATAATAGTTCCATTCTATTTATTTGCATTCGATCTAATGGCGATTACATTCAATGCAAGCACATCTTACAATAAAAATAGATTGGAGCATTCATAAATAACAAGATTTTATAGATAACAAGAAATTTGAAAAGAAATATTAAAGAAGTTTGGATCACGAGTTCATAATGATACTTCTCATCCAAAATTTTCTTATGCCCCATCACCAAATCTATTTAAAGGGATGTGAATATTTTGCTGCATCACCAAAAATCAAAATGGAGTTACCAATTCTAAAAAAAATTCTATTCTTATTTTTTCTCAGCTTCGCAGCCCATGCAAAACTCACAAATGTTGATGATAAGCTCATTTCAAATATATGTTCCAAGACAAAGGCCTCATATAAATGCACATCTTATTTGAATATGGTTCGCAAGGAAAGACAAGAATCTTCCCTTGAGGGTGTCGGGGTATACTTTCTCGACATTGCAATGAACAGAGCCAAAGTATCGACTGATTTGTATAATCGCTTGATTAAATATGATTACATAGCTAAAACAAGTTATATGAAGGCAAAATTCGAAAAATGCGTCAAACAATATAAGTGGGCAATGGACAAGATAAGTGAAGCAAAAATAATGTTGAAAGTCGCAAAATTTGCACTGGCGAGAGACAATTTAGAAGAAGTGTCGACAGTTCCTATTTACTGTGAGAATTTGACTAGAACAGAATCACGTGAAGTTATTGGAGCAAACGAGGAGTCTGATTTTATTTTCGACATTGCTTTGGCTGTTGTAAGAGAGTTGGAACGAGGTAATAGAAAATCTACTGCGACCTTGCTTACATGAACAACTAGAAAAGACTTTAGTCTCAAATAAATAATGAAATAAATAAGATGTAAGCCATAATTTGTTGTTGCTTTTTTTTTTTTCGAGAGCATTAAGTTGATTTTACCGAGAAATGAAAAGTTAATGCAAAATTGGTCACTATTTTTCTATCTTTTTATTGGTCAATTATAATTT